GTGCTTGTGAGATAGCAGATGTAGAGGTGAGTTTCGGACACGGGAATCTGAGGGGGAGTGGGAGCAAGAAGTGTTGTACATAAGGATTTCTCAGGCCAGCCTTGCTATATGGAGCAGAAAGCTGGGCCACCAGGGAGCAGGAATGATAATGAGCTTGGCTGTACTCAGACATCAGCAAGTGGAGACACTGGATCAGGGCACAAAAGCAGCAGCAGGGATGCCCCAGCAAGATTTCAGTGCTTTGGACCCACTGTGAGGATGGCAGGAAGCAGAGGAACGGGAAGGTTTTGCTTTCTGTCCCTCCCTGCCCATCTGTACAGGACTATCAGCTTTCTCTTTTCCATGTTAGCAAAGCCTTTTCCTGTAGAAGGCAGCGACCAAAGACTGGAATTCTTATACCATGTCATTAGTTGCTTCTGCTACGTGCAGGACAACGTGAATTTCACAAGGAATGATGCCTTCCAGCCTAGATTCCAGAGCTGTTTCTCTTTTCCTGTTGGTGTCTTAACCTTTACATCATCTAAAAAGAACAGGTTTTGTGTTTTATGTGCCCAGAGGCTGCCCGCAGAGGTTGGCAAGGGCAGTTGGTGAAGTCTGCACAAGGTCAGCCGGGATGTCTAATAATTGTCTTACCACTTTACCTGTTATGGAACAATAATGAGAGTTTTTTCATTATTTTCGGGTGAGTGAACCTGGCAGATGCTGACAGGCAGCAGATGTGGAAAGTTCGAGGTGATTTGTAAGGGACTGGCTCATCTGACGCATGGTAATTGCATTGTGGGACATTGTCACTCAGCGTCGTGTCCTGCACCAGCGCAGCGAGGTAAAGGTCAGTTCAAAGAGCTGGTGTAGCATGAGGGGCAGCCCAGGGCTGGCATGAAAAGCCTCATCTCCATCTCTCCCCTATACCTGTGCTCACAGCATGCCTCAAGCCAGGTTTGTGCCCTGGTTCATAGAATCATGGAAGGGTTTGGGTTGGAAAAGACCTTAAGATCATCCAGTTCCAGCCCCGTGCCATGGGCAGGGACACCTCACACTAAACCATGGCACCCAAGGTTCTGTGCAACCTGGCCTTGAGCACTGCCAGGGATGGAGCATTTACTCTAGGTACCCTGTGCCAGCGCCTCAGCACCCTCACCGGGAAGAACGTCTTTCTTATATCTAACTTGAACTTCTGCTGTTTCAGTTTGAACCCATCACCCCTTGTCCTGTCACTGCAGTCCCTAATGAAGAGTCCCTCTCCAGCATCCTTGAAAGTTTTAGATTTAGGGATTGTGAGTGGTTGTTTTGGTCTACAGTGGCCTTAAACCCCTCCTCTGGGAAGGCTTAGGGAAAGTCTCCTTACCCACCTGTTGGTTACATTGGTGTTCATCTGTCTGCTTAGAATTAGGGGCTTGGAGGTTTCTTTTGTGACTTGTTCATAGAATCATAGAATCCCAGACTGGTTTGGGTTGAAAGGGACCTTAAAGCTCTTCCAGTTCCAACCTCTGCCACAGGCAGGGACATCTCACATTTGAGGAGGTTGATCCAAGCCCTGTCCAACCTAGCACTAGGAGCGGTATGAGCAGTCCTATTGGAAACAGAGCGAGTTTGTCTGGTGGTGAACCTGTTGATGGCCCCAAATGGGGAGCAAGAGATGTCTTCCAAGATGTCCAAATCACCTGGACCACACTGAGTCCCTGCACACAGAGTGTGGTGCTGCCTGTCCATGTGCTCAGCTTGCTCTCTAATCAGGATTGATTTCTGGTGCTTCTGGAGGTTCAGTGGGATCTTTATCAGGCTGGGATGTGTGGAAGCCCTGATTGACTGGGTTTCCTGGGTGTGCCTGTGCTTCTGTAATACAGATGCTGATAAACCTCTAATACCCTGGAGATCTTGATAAAATGTGTGTTGTGTATTTCATCTGCTCTTGCCTCTTTCTTCTGTATTTGCTGGTATCTAATCCCCTGCTCTTTATCTCTGCAGGATATCATACTATAGATTTTGTCCTTTATTATTCTCCTAAAAGCCCCGCACTTACCAATACTAAGAATTGCAGTAGCTCTGCATGTGCTTCTTGAAGTATGAACCCTGACTTAGCTCAGTTGCTCAAGGTTTCCCGTTAAGCTGGCCAGCTTAGGAGCAGTGCTCCCCCATGGAGTATAAACTCTCTGTACAAGGCATCTTGACTCTGTCAGAGAGAGACCTTCAAGCCATCTTTTAGTTTCTCATAGAATCCCAGCCTGGTTTGTGTTGGAAGGGACCTTAAAGCTCCTCCAGTTCCAACCCCTGCCACAGGCAGGGACCCCTTCCACTGGAGCAGCTTGCTCCAAGCCCCTGTGTCCAACCTGGCCTTGAACACTGCCAGGGATGGGGCAGCCACAGCTTCTCTGGGCACCCTGTGCCAGCGCCTCAGCACCCTCACAGGGAAGAGCTTCTGCCTAAGAGCTCAGCTCAGTCTCCCCTCGGGCAGGTTCAAGCCATTCCCCTTGGCCTGTCCCTACAGGCCCTTGTCCCAAGCCCCTCTCCAGCTTTCCTGCAGCCCCTTTAGGCACTGGAGCTGCTCTAAGGTCTCCCCTTCAGGAGCCTTCTCTTCTCCAGGCTGCCCCAGCCCAGCTCTCTCAGCCTGGCTCCAGAGCAGAGCTGCTCCAGCCCTCGCAGCATCTCCATGGCCTCCTCTGGCCTCGCTCCAACAGCTCCACGTCCCTCTTGTGCTGCTGCCCCTGAGCTGGGTCAGGACTGCAGGGGTGGGGGGGGTATCCCCAGAGCGCAGCAGAGGGGCAGGATCCCCTCCCTCAACCTGCTGGTGCAAAGCCTGACCATGCAAACTGAGCGTGAGTTCTGCTATAAGCACAAGAGGAACCAGTATTTCCCCCATGTAGCATTGTTAAAAGCTCTCCCTAATATTTAATCTCAATAGTGGGTTGCTGATGTAGGTAGACATGCAGGCTCTGCTCATGGTCTCCATGCTGAGCATGAAGGGTTCCAGGGTGTGTGTAATTGTGCATGTACCAGTCAGTGTGACTGTACTTTGGCAGACAACTGGCAGATACTAGGCATATAACTTTGAAGGAAAAGGTGGCTTTTCAATGCATCATTTTTTGGTAGAAATAAATCTTGTCTGGAGTTGTTGATGGTTTTTCCTTTGTTTAGTGTTCCAGGACATCTTGGAGACTCCTTTCCGTGTTCCACCATAGGTCTCGCATTTGCTGACCAACTTGGCTTAATTCTCTGTAGACTTTACCTTATCCTAAGTATTTACTGAGCTCATTTGTTGAGAGAGTAATTACAGGTGGCTGCAGAGGCACGAAACAGTCCAGGATGTGTCCAGGCTGCTTCTGCTTTCTGAGGTGTAACTGGTTTTCATCTGAATACTGAGAAGGGAGTTAAATCTGTGTTATAGCTTCTCATTCAACCAATGTCTGCTTCAGGGCAGTTGTGCATCATGGGGTTTTTCTCCTAAGAGTATGCAGATAGGCTTTGTATTTAGAATAAGACTTCTTTAACCATGGCACACTCTGTGATAGTTTGTAACGTATCCAAATTCCACTGCTTTGCTTTCTAACTCCAGCCGAAACTGTGTTTGGAATAGCAGATGTGGAATAGCGTCATCCCGCTGTCGCACCGATTGCTCATTGTTCTGAGAAGGTCACATCATAATTCATTAGCAGTAATTACTCCCTGCGTACCCCCTGCACTCCTTCACTCAATTGCTTCATTAACTGGTGAGTGAATCTCACATTCAGCGCTCCGATCGATGAAGATATATTTATAATGTACAAGTGGATGCTATTAGTTACAATATATTAACTGCCTAATTTAAAAGAGAAAAGCTATCTTTATGAAGGGCAATTAACCACTAAGTGTAATTGATAATTCACATACCTCTGATTAGGAAAGACAAATAATAAGGAAGAAATGGATCGCCAGTGTTATTGGAGAAGACACTGGCACGTGGTTCTAACAAGCAGAAGGGGCTCTCTGGGTCAGGACTGGAGTTCTAAGGATCCTTTGATGGAGAGCTCATCACTGGATGCGTTACCTCGAGGTGGCTTTGGTGTTTGCATCAAGCACCTGGGATCATCTTCCTGAGCAAAGGAGCACAGCGTGTTTTGGTGTCTTGAGAAGCAGTGCAGGGGCTTTCCTAATAGAAAAGTCCTTTTTCATCCTAACACGAAGAAAAGTAATATTTTAATGGGAATTTATAAGCCTAGCCCCAAACTTGCCAAGGTAACTGCACCTGCGTAAGCTCAGGTCCTCAAAGATAACTATGTATAAATTCACAGTAAAACTGACCAAATTGAGGCTTTTTAATATATTTGAGGAGCTGAGTGATGCCCCCTTTGGCAAATATATATATATATTATAAATTGTGGTACGTTTTCAATACTTTGGATTGTCCATGGCCACTTTAAAATACAATGGTTCTCCACAAACAGCTGACCACTCATCCTTGGAGAATAGGCCTTTTTTTGTGACATCCTCACTAGATCCACCACAGTTTGGGGCAGGAAACAAAGAGGCAGGACTTGAATGGGGTTGCAGAGTACTGATCCACAGGAACCTTAACCTCACTTTTGCCACTTGGGGCCATGTTTTCTTCCTTTGAGAAGCCATTTACCAGTAAACATTTATTAATGAATCACTTGGAAATACCATACTTTCCAGGGTTATCCACCAAGTAACAGCAAAGGTGTTTTATGAGAGATTAAATGGTAGCTGTAACTGAAGCCACCCCAGTGTTGATATCTCCATCATTTGGAGAAGGTCTTTTTGACAAGGGCAATGCAGTATCAGGACAAGGGGGAATGGCTTTAACCTGGCAGATGGGAGACTGAGATGAGCTCTTAGGCAGAAGCTCTCTGAACGTTTTAGGTGTGTCTTGGTCACAGTAAGAGATCCTGCTCCTGTTCTGTAATATCATCACTGCATGTTCATTGTAATTACCCAAGTTAGGCGTGGGGCAGCAGAACTGATGCTCTGTGTGTAGTTAACCCTTCTCTGCTCTCTTTACTCAACAGGATCAAAGCATCTGGTCTGAAGCTTCGGTTCTGCACTAATGAAACCCAAGCGACCCGGGAGAAGTTTGTGAAGAAGCTCCAGGGCCTGGGCTTTGACATCTCCGTGGATGAAGTCACTGCCCCAGCACCAGCAGCCTGCCGCATCTTGAAGGAGCGTGGCCTAAGGCCACACTTGCTTGTACACAATGGTGGGATAACACTGCAGCAGATGCTGGGACATGGAGGGGGACAGCTCAGGGAGATGTGGGTCTTTGCGATAGAGCAGTGAGTTCCCACAGCTCGTGTGGGGAAGGGCTCCCACATGCTGTTTTCCTACAGGGAAAAGCTTCTTCCTTAGTCATGAGAATGCAGAATATAACTTAGTGGTCTGGTCTGAGTGGGATCTCCATTGTGGCAGTGATAGAGTTGTGTTGGGAGGTAGCAAGAGCTCAGAGGAGTCTGCTGTTTAACCACAGTGACTATGAGATAGGTGAGGTCTTTGTCACCATGACAGAGGTTTTAAGTTTGAAGTGTTTCCTGCTATAGAGTGTGGGTATGGAGAAAAGGGATGGATCCTGCTCTCACTGGTACACATTTTCATTTGGGTACCCATGTTTGCCTTGGGTCTGCTGAGACAGGGGTGGCAGGAGCTAAAGTAACGGTAGGAAATGGTTTATTTTGCTCTTTGTTATAGGACAGATGAGTAGCAGGAAACAGTGGAATAGAGGGGTCTGAAGAACACTTGATTAAGACTTGGGTTTACTTATCTTTTTAAAGCATTGTGTCATGGACGAAGTGAAACACACATCTGGGGGAAACAGTCAGTTCCAGGGGGATCTGAAGTAGGGATTTCTGGTTTATTTTTTCCATCCTTTAGATCTCATTCCTGAATTTGCTGAGCTTGACAAAGCAAACCCAAACTGTGTGGTTATTGGAGATGCAGCAGAGAACTTCACCTATGCAAACCTTAATGAAGCTTTCCGAGTTCTCATTGGGATGGAGAAGCCTGTTTTGATCTCCCTTGGAAGAGGGTGAGTTAAACATCGTTTCTTCCTCAAGTCTCTACAGCTTTTAATCTGCACCCGGTGTCTTTGTAGTTAATGGAGGCCAGATAATGGTGTGGGCATTCACAGTACCAACTTCTAAGCAGTTATCTCTGTGTCTGGACTGGGAGGCTGATCTGCTCAGGTATCTTTCGCTGAACAGTCACTGGTGGGTAATTCAATTTACCTGTCCCAAGTCACTTACTTATGGTCTTTCTAGGGGTGTAAGTGAAAACTGAAGTGATCACACTGAAATAGGTCTCTAGAAGGTGGTATGGATGTTTGCCATGAGCCACGGTTCAGCCCTGTGCTGATGCTTCTTGGGCACTGGAAGGTACTGAGCTTGCCATGCCAAATCCTCCAGTTGACTTTGAAGGTATTCATCAGTAGGGTCTGTGCTGCTACAGCACTGGGTGAGCATCCCTTGAATATCAGCTCTCAGTGGTCTTTCTGTAGACAGTGCAGAGGAAGCACTTGTGTGGATGTGTTTCATTGGCTTCTCGAGGGTGAGGGATATAGGTGTTCTAAGGAGGAATTATAGCAGCTTTTAGAGAAATTGGAGATGCTCTGGTGTATGAGCACAGCAAATGGCAGCCTCCAACCCTTTGAGGTGAGTGTTTAAGAGGGAGCTAGACCTGGATGAACAATCCACATGTTTGCAGGTGGCAGTGGAGGTGTTAAATAGAGTCATAGATGCTAGGTTGGAAGGGACCTCAAGGATCATCTGCTCCAACATTTAAATAGCTGTAGTTTGTAAGCCACCAAGAAAAGGACTTTTCTTGCTTTAAGAGCAAGTCTAAGAGCATCTTAAAATACCCCATAGAAATCATGCAGTTTGGATTTTGATGTGTGCAACCCCCAAGTGAATGAGGTCAGTAGGATTACAGGCACTGCTTATCTTGTGTTTGCCCCTGCAAGGTCTCAGAATGAGAACTGTTGTCTGAACTGCTGCCTGTAGCCATGTGTTCCTGTCTGAACTGAAAATAAATGAGCTTGATAGTGACAGAAACCCAAAGCTGGCAAGAAAATCCAACAAGCCATGCTTGGATAAAACGTTGTTGATGTAGATTTGGGATGCAGTTTAATCTTCCAGCATCCAGAAGTTACTAATTGTGAGGAGGAGCAGGTGGTCCAAAATTGCTCTGTTTCAGCCAACAGCCAGGTTTGTTCTTCCAGGCTCAAATCCTGCCCATGTCTGTAGTGGTTGAGATGTGATACTGGTTGTGGCTAACAGCCTGTGTGACCTAAATGACGTCCTGCTTTTTGAGTGATGCTTAAAGATGCTACCTCTGAAAGCTGGTGTTAACATCTCTGCAGGTTGATTCATATGTGTGAACACGCCAGACATAAAGGAGCACTTTCAGGCTGGTGGCTTGAGAATTGCTGTATGTGAGGAACAAGAAGCCAGGAGAGTTTTTATTTGCTAATATAGAAACCCTACCAATGTGTGAAAGCAGCTGCAATGCACGGACTCCATCCAAACTATGTTGGAGATGGGGTTAGATGTTCCTCTGGCCATGAGTGAAGTGTGGTGGCCATGAAGACCTCGAGAGAGCCCAAGGATATACAAGAGAAATGGCTGGGCTGGTGGTATAGCAGTTGATCTGCAAACACAACTGTGCTTTTGACGTGACAGATCAACTGCTTTGACAATTTGAGTATCAAAGGGTGTGCTTAGTTACTCTCTGTACATTAAAGGCACATTTTGAGCTCCTGCTTCCCCATGCAGGGAAAAGCCAGTCAGGGAACTTGAATGTTCTCCTAAAAACAATTCAGTTTTCTGAGACTTTAACAGGAGGTTATCAGTGCCAGCACTGGATAATGACAAATCCCAGTGGCTTTGAAGGAGTTATTCTTACCTGTTGTGCAATGTACGGGCTTAAAAACACTGTATATGTTTTGTTTGAGGAAACTGTAGTGACACCTTGGTTCCAGTGCTTCAATAGACTGCAACGGGTGTGAAACCCCTTCTTGGTTTGTGGGTTATTGATCTGGATGGGTAGAACTTCCCAGAGAGAAGGAGTGCGGCCTTACTTAATGCTCATGCTCTGATCCTACAACGTGGGCGAAAAATCCTTCCTGTTTCTCAGTTAGGAGAATGGGGAAAAGATGTTGAGCCAACAGCAGAATGGTTAATGTATGTAAAATAACCAAGGTTTGTGTTATGAAACAAATCTTTAGGATTTGCAGCGTGTTCAGTGCAAAAATGGTCTTTCATGTAACAGTATATCTTTAGTTGGTCGTTCATTGATGTAGATGGCTCTAAAAGAAGTCCCTGTTACTTGTTTGAAATGTTAGTTTTCATTTCCAAACACAGAGGTGTGGATATTCTGAGCTCAGGTTTTGCCATGAGCATTTATTTTCTTTGAATATTGATCATTTTATTTAAATATTGATCATTTAGGTAATGTGAACGTGAGTTCTGCATGGGTTACACTGGTTAGGTAAGTTCTCTGACTCGAAGAAGGGCAGTTGTAACTGGGATGAACAGAAATCTCATTGATGCAAAGGGTCATATGCAAAACCCAGCCACAAACCAGGTTCATTTTTAAAGGGCAGAACCAGTGTAATTGGGTGGACCTTAACAAGGTGCCTTTCTTGGGCAAATCCATTCATTTTGGTTCAAGTCTGAGTTCATCCCATAGAAAGCAAAAGTGTCGGAGCCACTGAAGCAGAATGCCCTCCTCCTGAAAACGGAGTGATTTACATTTAGCATCTGTTTTGGGCTGAGAGTGGGAATTGGCTTTGTAATTCCTTCTGTCATGGCACTGTCAGAAAATTAAGCTGTTTACCCTGGACTGTAGAAGGTTAATGGCTGTTCTAGCAAAGGTCAAGTGGCCATTTGAAAGGGAGGCAGTGCTGAATAATCGGAAATGGCAGAAAGATAAGGCATCATATCTTATCTGACTGCTCATCCTGCCTGTTTCCCTGTCATACAGAAACCTGTCTTTACTCTGATCAGGAAAGCTTGGAAGATCTGCCTTAGTGTGAGTTGCTATTCCAGAAAAGTGCTATAAAGATACTAATTTTATGTGCTCTCTGGCAATGGGAATGTTTTTAGGAGGAACAGATTTAACTTGGGCTTTCTTAGTCCCTGGTTTTCCTCATGTGGAAGACTGGTGACAAGCAATGATGATCAACTCTTTGGAATGAAAGAATGAATCCTGGAATGGTTTGGTTTGGAGGGGAACTTAAAGCTCATCCAGTCCCAACCCCTGCCATGGGCAGGGACACCTTCCACTGGAGCAGCTTGCTCCAAGCCCCTGTGTCCAACCTGGCCTTGAGCACTGCCAGGGATGGGGCAGCCACAGCTTCTCTGGGCACCCTGTGCCAGTGCCTCAGCACCCTCATAGTAAAGATTTCCTTCCTGATATCCAGTCTAAATTTGGGGTTCTCTTCCAGATATACTGAAAAAGATGTTGCAGCTGCTGGTTGGTACCAGCCATCATCTTGTATATGCCTGATGCTGATTAAAGGAAGAGCAATGTAACTGCTGTCCTCTGGAAGCAGCTAGTCCATGTACAATAAAATACAGGCCGAGTTCAGCCTTCATTTAAAGTAGTTGAAATCCTTGATATGACTTAGTTGAAATCCCTTTGAACCAGTGGAGTCGTGTCCTGGGTGCCAGATGGGCATCTGGTCTGAGATCTTTTCCCCAAGCATTGCACATTACTGAGCCTGTCCTTTAACTTTTAATTCCTGGTGTTAAATTAAGGCTCCAGAGTTTCTGATTACTTGACTTTTTTGTTGCAGCCATATGGACATCTATATAGGCACAGAAATCATAAAATGTGGGGTTTTGTATTTAACTGCCAACCTTTTCATTTCATTGGAACTTTATCACTTTCATTTCCAGACGCTACTATAAAGAAACCGATGGTCTGAAACTTGATGTTGGAGCATATATGAAGGCATTAGAGGTATTTTATAGCTTGAATTATGCTTAACTTGCACACCTTGTTAAAAGAGTAACTGGGATAAATACGGGTCATCTTCTGTAATTACTCACCTTGGCGGAGGAAAGGTTCCACAGATTGAAACTCATTTGCTGCATTCAAAAGACTGGTGGATTCTAAAGGTGGATTCATTTGTTCTCTGGCTTTGCTCAGGGGTTTTTACATTTTACTTTAAAATGTGAACTTTTACCATGTGGTGGTACCTTTATATGAATTGAGGCTCTTGAAGGAAGGAGTCAGGAAAGAACAGCATGGAATATAGTCTGCAAGGTACACTGAAGGTCCATTTTATGTTTGGTGTAACGTTAACACAGCCTTTGCCCTTAAAACGGTAGAGAGCAAAAGGCCCTTATTCAGCAAGATACTTAAGGGCAAACCTGGTTTTAAGCCTGATTAAGTCTGTGCAGAAGTGGAACCCAATGACCAAGCTAATCTGAGAGAAGGAGAGAGTCGTTACTCTCCCTTTTATGGGCTTGCAGAGAGATGTAAAATAATACATGGTGAATGCAGAGAATAAAGCAGACTAGGGTACTGGACAAGCACAGAGGATAGTGGAGATAATGTATGCTTGCAGCACATTCGTTTGTACCTCTGAGTTTTGGAGGTTTTGCCTCCCAGATAAGTTTAGGTTTATAATGGTCTAGGGACAAGCTAGAAACGCCTTTTCCAGCCTAGTACTGATGCCTCTTTGCAGGAAAATAGCCTCAAATCTGGCTGGTCACTTGAATCATTAATAATAGGCTGGGTGGTTGAAGAAACCCTCTACAGTCTTTTAAGGCCCTCCAGCACTTTTGATCATTTCATATGAAGGATATTTGCTGTTTTTTTTAAGAGTGGCGCTCTTAAAAAATGGGAGCTACTGGAACAGAGTAGCTGAGCTCTCATGAGGGAGAATGTAAGAGGTTTGTAACTGGAGACTGTTCAAGAGGACTTTCTCTCCTGCCAGCGCATGTGAAACACTTGTGTTATCCTGATTCTCTGATACTCACCTTCACCCATTGTATTGTTGAAGGCAAAATCAATAATCACATACGTATATACTTTGGAGGTTGGAACTAGATGATCTTAAGATCCTTTCCAACCCTATTCTATACAATTGACTGGAGTTATAGGGTTGAAAATTGCTTTTCTGGCCAGCACGTTTTGTGTGCATCCCTCTCTCTTTTTTCTCCAGTACGCTTGTGATGTTGAAGCTGAGGTGGTGGGGAAACCAGCAAAGCCATTTTTTGAGTCAGCCTTAGCAGCAATGGGAGTTCCACCACAGCAGGTGAGTTTGTGCCATGCAGGTATGCTCACTGATGCATTTTCTCTGGTTTGCTGGCTGTCACACAAAGTTATCAAAGTTGAAGGGAATGTGGCCAGTGTGTTACACATGGTGCAGAGAAATATTAATACACGGGATCTCCCTATGAATGACTCCAGAAATTGTAAGGAAGAGAGAACTGGTTGAAAAAATGCTTCAGAGGGAAAGAAAACCCAAATATGTTTGCCCATTCTGTTAGATAATATGAAGTAGATGAAAGGGAACTGGCAACCAAGAGGGTAGATGCTTGCAGGCTGCATTTCTTCTGCCCTGTTTGTGCTTCCTACCTTCCTGAAAGGCATGCCATGAGTTTCTCTGCTTGCTTTGAGGGCTCTTATTGCTTGCCTGCTATTTCCCTTTTCATTCCCTCTGCCTGTCTCTCTTTGCTCTGGCTTGTGCTCTCCATCCCTCTACCCAGTTTAGACTCTTGTATCCGTTCTCTGCTGCGGCTTCTCCTACTTGTACTCATGTTGCACTTTCTAACTCACCTTCCTCCCAAACCTTATAGTTCAAAAGAACACACACTTCTCTTGTGACGTTCCTATATTTGGAGACTAAAGAAAGCAATACAGAAAAGTTGGTTTTCCCAAGGAATTATGGAAGATGTTGATGAGAGGTGTGTTGCATTCCACTTGGCAACTAGAGGCTGCAATGTGGTGGATTTGCAGCTTTGGTTCCCTTTGGTGTCACACTGACTACTTAGAAGAGAAAGGTAGAAGTAAAATGCTGTCTAATTTAGGTGAGTGGGAAGCACTGACTGACTCAAAACCTCCTGCTATGTTGATGGATTCATCCAGTGTGTGATGCTTCCTGCTTGCTTAGTACAGACCATTTTCCCCGTCACTGTAGCTGTGGCTAGATCTTCTTTATTGATTTGTTGTTATGTCCCACAGGGCATCGGGATGAGTATGAGATGACTCGCAGGCAGCAGTGAATTACAGCATAGTAATTCCATCAGGGGGTTTTGGTGACATTATAAACAACCGGAGTGAAGTTTGGGTGGCTTCTAGGTCCCTAGAGCCTGGAGATGAAATTATGGCCCTGTAATTCAGTATGTGGTTGGGTTTTATTTTATTATAGAGAGGGGAGATGGAAAAGACCTGGTAGGCCATATAATCCATCTCCTTCTTTGTGCAGGTGTGTTCCCTGCTCCGGGTTATTAATGTTTTGTCCAGTTTACAGTGAGCCAGACAGCTGGGCTTCTATCAGGACCTTAGGGACAGTGTTCACAGCAGAGTAGGTCTTATGGGCCCTTTTAAACTGCATCTCCTCATTTCTACTTTTACTCCAGGTAACAACCACAGTAACTGCTTGGCCTCCTGTGTATCTTCTCCCTCTGATTGTCTCCAGACTTGTTACCATTACAATAGTTGTCTCTTTCTAAACCCTGTGTTTAGCTCTCAAGGCTTCCCTTGGGATTTGGTCCCTCTGCACCCTGACCCCCTGCAGTGATCCCTTGTTTGTCAGTATCTTCCCAGTAACAAGAGAGCTCAGACTGGATATAATACCCCAGGTACAGCCATAGCAACTATTCAATCCATTCATCCAACCAACAAACCAAGGAGTCCATTTCAGACACAAGGTGACATTTGGATAAGTAGTAGATGGAAAAAAGAATACAGGGGAAAAAAGCCCCACAGAGCTCAGCCCTTGGCTACTCTTTGTGTAAATCAGATGCACGAAGGGTCATGGTTCCTTCCTGCTTGTACCAGAAATGAGTGGTACACACGAGTAGGAAGGAAGCTGTGGCTGCCCCATCCCTGGCAATGTTCAAGGCCAGGTTGGACACAAGGGCTTGGAGCAGCCTGCTCTAAAGGAAGGTGTCCCTGCCTGTGGCAGGGGGTTGGAGCTGATGAGCTTTAAGGTCCTTTCAACCCAAACCAGCATGGGACTCTGTTATTTTTGAGTTCTCTCTCCTTGTGACCCTGCATAGCAGCATTCCTTGCCCTTTTCTATAGGCAGGATGGTGCTGTTGTCCTCAGACACTGTTATTCCAGGACCATGTCAGCGCATGGCACCAAGGGAGGGCATCATTACAGGGATGTGACAGGGCACCACAACTCCTGTCTCAAAAACTTTGCCCCAGGAAACAGATTTGATTGAATGCATCAAAACTGGCAAAACCAGTCCCATAGGGTGAGCTTCAGTGAGAGGTTGCCACCAACTGCAGGAGGATTTGGTTTGGGTACATAAAAGCAGTAAAAGTCCCCAGCAGGGGTTATTTATTCATTGTTTGTTGTTTGCCATAGTGCTAATGGTGACTAGCTTTGTATTTTGACAGAGATTTTTCTTTTCCTATCTACTTTCTAGTGTTAAATGCCATCAGTTTGTTGTAGTAATACAGCTGGTCTGTAGGTGTGATATTTTGTATTCAGGGAGATTGGAGATGAAGGGAGTGTGCCTAACCAGAAGCAGCACAGCAGACACCACTGCCTAATGGCACCACTCACTCCATGCTTTGCGTAAGGAAAAAATAGGAGTTGAAACCTAGATCAGGACGCACATGTGTAGGAGGAGCAAATTACAGCAAACTACCTTAATTCTAACACCTTTTCCTAACTTTGAGTGCTTGATCTTGCAACTTTAGTGTCCTGTGAGAAGCATTTGCAGGTTGTTTTAGTTTGTCATACATAATAATAGAAACTCAGTATATTCAATAAGTTCCTTAGTAATGCACTGCAATAGATTTTAATCTGTCTCCTGAATGAGCTCTTTACTCCTCTGCATTTGTAATAATATGACAAGGACTGGTTTTACTTGCCTTTGCTTTCAGAATATGCTTGCCCATGATTTATTCCACTTGTGGAATGCATTTAATCCATCATTAAACCGTTTGAGGTGGGCTGTGCTTTTGAAAACATATTACAGTTTTCTTTCACCTGCCTTTTAATGAAGAATACCCTTTTAATAAAGCTGTAATTCCAGACGGTGGCAAATCTTACATTTCTGAAGCTGCTTCAATCAATAAAGTTATCATCAGTTATTTCCCTTGATAACTGCTTCTTTCCAAGGCCCTGACTTTGCCTTCTGCTCCTGAGATGTTTTCAACCTGCACTTAGAATAGAAGGAAGTCCCCAAAGTCCAATTTTCATTTTAACCTTTCCTCAATGGCCTAGAAATAACATATTGACAGTATTACTTTAATAGATTGGAAATTTAAACCTCTTAGAGGTAACCAGACCTATCTCCTGCTTCGGTAGTATGACAAAGAATAACACGTCTTAAAGGTTACTGAAATGCCTAATTCATATGTTTTAAGGCAGCTGTAACAGTGGATGATTTTTACAGCTTTATAATAAAACCTAAATAATGTTAAGGTTCTGGTAGTTTTATATAATCATAAAAAGTTCTCTGTGTAGCAAATGGTCCTGGTTTAATGGGAGTTATGGCAGGTCATGCTGGAGTGCATAAACTACACATAGTTAAGCAATTCCCATTCCTGCCACCTGCAAGTCTCGCATGGGAGTTAGTGGGGCGTGAGAGCAGAGGGAGGTCACCCCGAGAGGGGCATCAGCATCCCCTCCTTGTTCCCTGGCTACCACAAGGGAAGCTTTTCCATCCCCAGAACAAGTGGGAAGTGGCCAAGGGAAGTTTTAAGCTTGGAGTCCTGCTGAAAGCACATTGAAACCCATCTGGTCCTGCAGCCTGTGGAAACCTGCCCGGGAGGGTTAATGTATATTTCTGTGTTTTACCTGCCTTGTTGTACGTTTTCTCCCATCACAGGCACCAAGCCTTTGCATGTTTGATGTAGTTCCAAGACAGAAACATAATTAACAGTAATACAGGATCCTGAAGCCTAGGAGATTACCAGTTGGACCAGGAATAGGGAGACAAGAGAATGCACTGTGCTTCTTGTGTAAAAGGATTTAATACATTAGTGAAGATTTTGTGTATAAACTTTATTTCCTTACGTCCCTGACACGTTTAGCTTAAGGTTATTGAGTCTCTAGCAAGAATCTGTTTGGGTATAATTGACTCTAGAAGCATTCCCTGTATTAAATAGTCTGTTGAAGTTGATACGCTTCTTTCTGTGCATCTCTCTGCATCCTGTGTAGCCTCCAGCATCCCACATATCATACCTGAGCTTGTCCTAGTAAACATGGAGCCTGGCTGGGGAATACAGGATGTGTTTATCTTTCTACCTCATTCTTTTCCTTACTCCACAATTCCTTTTCTGATCACTCATTTTTCTGTAATTTTAGTAAATACCAAACCTCTTGTTTGCACACAAAAAACACCCCAAGGGTCCCATTCACCACCCTAAAGCATCTCTGAAGCTTTATTAGTGTTGTCTACTTCTGTGCATGAGAGGAGTCAGTCCCCACCTTCACTCAGCTCTGGGTCTGTGGTCCAGACCACACCAGTCAGGTTGCTGACTGTGATGGTGATCTCTGTGCCACAGATGTTTGTCCAGTGGGGATTGTATTGTGCCTTCCCACCCCCAAATCCTTGGAGCTCATGTTCATCTCCTCCATTAGCACTGTCAGTCGGAGTTGAGGTTGATGCGGAGTCTTCGAGAGCGGTGGCCTCACTCAGCTTTGGCACATGTGTGCTTTCTTTACTACATGTGTACAACCACACACACCACCTCTCACCAGATACAGGGGCTAGGAAGGTATAAATTACACTCATCTTAATTCTTTGATGATTTGCCTTAAACCGGAGAGAATGTCTCACTTAAGCTTTGGCCTTTTTTAGTCAAGTTTTAGCTGATCTAAAAGAAGTAAGTTCCGTGGACTAACTGATCAGCTTAATAGTGTGATCCCTGTAAAAACCATGAACACAAGCAGGCATCTTTCAGTTCGTGCTCTCAGTGGCTATGTGACCTTTCAGTTTTATCTCTTTCTCTCTCCTCTTACCATATTGCATTTGGAGGGGAAGTTAAACCCAGGTTTGACAGGTAGGGTATTTTCATTTCCCTCGGCAGCGCACCTTTTGACCCCTATCTTCTTGCCAATGATTTTTTTAATCCTAAATGATTTGGGAATAATTGCTCCTCCTTTAGTGATTATTGCCCTTCACCGATAGTAAATCTGTGAAGTCCCTGGGGGCTGGCGTACAGGTTTGTATACGGATGCCACAAGCTGGCCTGGACAAGCATCGCTGCTCATCGCTGCTCACAGAGCTGCCAGGACTCTTGCAGGAAAACTTGCCCAGACAGGGGAAATAGAGCCCCAGGGAACAAGGGAGAGCTGCTCTCCCCCGCTCTGCCATTCCCTGTTTCCAGAGGAAATCCAGTTTTAGGGTATGGAGAACCCAGGAATGAAGTTGGCTTTGCTTCAGGAATCTCATCCTGAACATCTGGGTTCAGGCTGAGGAAGGGCAGAGAGCAGCTCTGCTCCTGGGTGCTCTTCCCTGTCCTCCCTGGGGAGATGTTAGTAGGAATTGTATAAGAAGAAGGGATTCTAAACTGTTAAAGCCAGGTGTTGAGAATGATTGTATATCTCAAAGCATCTTGGAGGGGAGTCGGCAGTGGGAATTGGAATCCCACTGCCTAGGAGCAGTGTTGCTGGGTTCTTTGCAGCTCTGCAGGTAACAGTGGGGTTATTTTGTTTTCCTCATCTGTATATGCATGCTTTATTTACTGGTTACTTAAAATTAACCCATCATAGAATCCTGGAATGATTTGGTTTGCAAGGGACCTTAAAGCTCATCCAGTTCCAACGTACTGCCACGGGCAGGAACACCTTCCACTAGAGCAGCTTGCTCCAAGCCCCTATGTCTAACCTGGCCTGACAAGACATGCTTCTTCTGGGCAGAATGGAGTAAGGGTGGGCTTGTATAAACTGTTTCAAAATAGACTACTTCAGCGTGGTAGTGGACAAATGAGCCTTGACTTGAGAGGGCATCCTGTTAACATCCCATCACCTGAGGGATGATGATCATCCCTCACATGAGCAGTATTACAGAACTGCATAGAAGATAGATTGGGCTGGTACCTACTATATTTAATCTTGCGCACTGCACCTGATGTGTTACTCAAAAGAGGAATTAGTCATTATCAGCTGAAGCTGTTCCAGATATACTTGCTCATAGCTCATGGTTTATAAGTGATTTCAGAAAATCTTCTGTTCAGCTGCAGCATTAGGTATATCCTGAGATTTCCTTTACGTGCCATGTAATATGGGGGAGAAGATTATGGTGTAATTAGATGATTAATAAAAATAGCTCTGGAGCTTAAGTGGTTTTACACTTGTTCAGTAGGTTTAATTTAGTCCTGCACAGCAGACTGCTGGCACAGTGGGAACTGAAGTGTAGGGAACACAGAAGATGAGCTGGTTCTTGTATGGTTGCATTCTATGTAAAAGGGAGTGTAAAGAAGAGGACCTTAAAGCTCATCCAGCTCCATCCCCTGCCACGAACAGGGACCCCTTCCACTGGAGCAGCTTGCTCCAAGCCCCTGTGTCCAACCTGGCCTTGAACACTGCCAGGGATGGGGCAGCCACAGCTTCTCTGGGCACCCTGTGCCAGTGCCTCAGCACCCTCACAGGGAAGAGCTTCTGCCTAAGAGCTCAGCTCAGTCTCCCCTCGGGCAGGTTCAAGCCATTCCCCTTGGCCTGTCCCTACAGGCCCTTGTCCCAAGCCCCTCTCCAGGTTTCCTGCAGCCCCTTTAGGCACTGGAGCTGCTCTCAGGTCTCCCCTTCAGGAGCCTTCTCTTCTCCAGGCTGCCCCAGCCCAGCTCTCTCAGCAGGGTTGAAACCAGATGGTCTTTAAGGTCTCTTCCAACCCAGACCATTCTATGATTCTATAATCATCATGTTACATTGGGCAAAACTGAACAAATGAGATTTTACAGTGATTTCTCAAATTGTTGCATCAACCTGAGAATGGGTCGGGATCAAGCTCAGCAACTTACACATCTCGGTGGTCACTATCTGAAGCGTATAAGTGGCTTTTACAATACCAGTTTTAGGAATTGTTTAAAAAGTTAAGCTTAATTTAAACCACTTGGAGCATGACATAAGTGGGCCGTTAGGACCAGCTTAGGCCTAGCTTCCTAAAATTCACCCTTCCCTTTGAACTGCATGCCACATCACTTTGATTTATGTTCCTGATTACACATTGCACGGCTCTGTGCTGCACTAGTACATTGCTGGAGGAGCTATAGCATGAATTAAATTCAAGGTAGGGTGACTTTTAATCAATACGATGACAATATTATCTTGTTTAATTTGTCTGATGGCGGTATTAAACATCAAATCAAGCTGTTTGTTATGTCAGGGGAGGGTGACGTATGGCAGAAATAAACCTCACTTGATGCCACTTGTTCTGTGTGTCATTGCTTTGACAGGCCATCATGATTGGAGATGATATTGTGAGTGATGTAGGAGGTGCCCAGCAGTGCGGGATGAGAGCCGTGCAAGTGCGGACAGGGAAGTACAGGTCAGTGCGCATCCTACACCCTGCGCTCCATGGGGGAATCATGGAAAGGGGGAGAAGAACTGCAGGTAATGGTTCTGCCAAATCCCACTGTGCTCTGATTGCCTTACAACACATTCATTTCTGAGAGAAAACAAATTCCACTCTGGAACGTGGTACATGTTCAAAGTGAGTGCACAAAATCCCATGCCTTTCCCACAGCTTTTCCTGTTGGTGGCACAGGTTTGCAGTCAATGTACACTTGCATCTGTTGTCTGAACAAATGGCTCCTTGGGCAGCAGTTAGGCTTGGGTGGGTGATAGCATGTTCAGTTGCAAAACACAGCTTAGGGAAACCCTGTATGTACAAAAGTGGCAGGAAGAGGAAGACACGTTGTCTTTGAGCTCCTAACAAGTGTTTGCTGTTAAATTGCTGCTGTGGTTTCCCCATCAAGGGCACAGAACTGGAGTGTTTCTCAGGGTTTGCTTCTTTCTTTTCCTGCAGCTGAAAGTGTTGTTCACTTGCTATGAGACGTGTCTGAAACTTGTAGCAGGGTTAAGATCATAACATTTGACTGTCGACTCAGTGCTCTCTCTGGGTTCTCTCACTGCTTTATGAAGGACTCTGCATGTCAGTTATCTCCTCCAGACACGTATTCAGCACTGAGATGTCTGAAATGCGTGAGCTGCTTCTCCACTTCTCATCTAACTGGAGTGCAGGCTTCATCTCTTTCAAATGACCCTTCAAACCCTTCTCCATGCAGCTGTCTCCATCATTCTGTGCTTTCACTGACCCAAGAGCTACCTCCCTGCAGCTGCTGACGGGAGACCTGACAGGGCATGGTCCAGGGTTGACTGATGGAAAATGGAGCCATGATCTCATGCTCAGGCCAGGTTTGGTTTGAGGTCATCTCGAGGTGGCTCTCCAAACGCAATGAAACATCGGCCCCTATGTTTAGTGTCTGGATTCCATAACATTCCAGATCTCCTCTTAACCATCATCTCCTCTTAACCATAACCAGGCCTTTTTGGGGTAGGTTCAGCAGCACCATCTGTCGGTTGGTAGATCTGCAAATAGTGAGAATGTAAAAGAAGGATCCTCTTTTTGGGAGGGATGCAGCACATGAGAATGGTGCTTGCCATGGGTTAGCTGAACAGTTATTGCATTAGTTTTCAAGTCAGTCTGTTTCTCAGTTTTCCTTCTAGTTTGTGTGAGGTGATGAAATGATACCCAGTGCCTTAAATCTGATGGACCAGTACGTGATGATTTCTGAGGAAAAAAGACATACAAGTGTATTGTATTTTGTGTATCTAAGATAGTGCATCTCAAAATAAGTTTTCTACAAGAATGAAGCTCCAAAAATCCACAAGATTAAAAAATTAAGGATAGAGTTTGTGCTGTTGGGATTATTTGTCTATAATCTGTGTAATGCCATTAATTTCCTAAAGGAGAGAAGAAGGATTCAACAGTTGATTCTATTCTGGTATTAAGGGGATCACTCGATGAATCTGCATCTTGATGTCACTCAGATGCAGGTGTCAGTGGAGGAGGTATCTCTGCACCTAGAGGTAAATGAGACCTCTGTGCTAAACAGGTATCTCCTGTGATGTATTTTGCTCATCACAATATGCCACAGGTGATGCTGCATCCAAGTGGTTCAGGCATCTGACACAAACTGTGCATACACGCACATACACATAAATATGTATAATCATCTGCTGGAAAAACATATCTTGTATCAGGTTTGAGTCATGATTTCACAGCTGAAAAGGAATCATTGGCTGTTCTAGATGGGGAAAAGAGATTGTTTTGTGCTGCTGTGTTTCCTGTCTTAATGTGTGGTTGCTGTCACCTGAAATAGTGTTCTGTTGTGTATAAAGGAGTGTCTCTCTAAAACGTGGTTATTAGCAACTGGGAGTAAAATGAGATAGCTCTTGTTTGCCAAGAGAGGACAGGGATGTATGTATTTATCGGAATGACTGATTTAGCACACATGGAAAATCAAAATACACAGTGCATATTGAGAAAGGGGGGAGAAAAACAAAAGAATGAAAGCTGATGGGCAATTTAAATTAAAAATAACAGAAAATGTTGTTATTTTATGGCCAGTTTAGTTTAAGTTCTATATAACATCATGCACAGCTCCTCTCTTGCTTGTGTGGTAATCCTGTCAGAGAGCTGTGTGCTACATCCAAGTACCTCTGGATGGCACCATTAGTACGGTGCTAGCCACAGCTTCGGGACCTCCCCAGTGTCTGAAGCTGGTTTTGCATAGGTGTAAAGCACAGAGACCTTGGGGTTTGTGTCTGCTGAGTGCTGGTGGGGTGGGATTTCAGTTGTGAGGTTCTTGTGGCTATGGACAGGGGTGATCACCCCAGTTGAGCTGTGTCTGTGTTCCTGCTTTGTTCCCAATCCCACCACAGTGATGGTGCCTCACTTCAGCAAAACAGATGCAGAGCTGGTTTGAGAATAAAGTAAAAGATAACAGAGGAACCATCCCAAGGCATTGCTGCAGGTGCATTTACCACTGGGTATGTGAAAATGACATCATTTGACCAAGTTATCCCAGTGAAGGCATTTTGGATGTCGTTCTGTAGGTACAAGGGATCCTATTGTACCCCTCCAGCCTCACCCAAATGCTGTCCCTGACTGGCAGATGCTGTCACCTCTGGTGCACACATGTGCATTGGGGCAGCTCTCCTTATTTCAGGTGTTGGTGCAGTTCACATCAACATCTTTGAGGTCTGGGTTTGTCAATGCGGGGTGGAGGATGTTGGCTTTGCAGGTGGGTCGAGATCCAGAGGGGAAGCAGAAGGGGTGCATGGAGAGCTGGCATAGCCCTGTGCTGTCTCCCTGGCCTCTGCAGGATCACTTTCTGTGTTGGCTGCTCCCAGGGTGAGATGCAAAGTGAGGATTAAGCTGCTGCAGAAACATTTGGGTTTACATCACCTTGCATGGAGGTCCTGAAAATCAGTTCCTTTGTCCTGATTCTTTCCATCTTTAACCAAATGTGTGGAGATGGTTTCTTTTAGTATAACAGACTTCACTCCTGCATCCATACTTGTCTGCTCCTCGAATGCACTTAATCTTCCAGCAGGACTTAAGTGTTGAGCTCTTTCTCAGTAGCCAAATGAGACATAGCACAGATTAGTCCATGAAGACATAGAATCCCACACTGGTTTGAGCTGGAAGGGACCTTAAAGCTCACCCAGTTCCACCCCCCTGCCACGGGCAGGGACACCTTCCACTAGAGCAGGTTGACCTTTCTGAGGTATAAAATCCAAATGCAAAGGGTCAGTCTGGTCTGCAGGTTTGTCCACCCTCAGCTTGTCCCTTCTACAGACCAGGTCATTGCTGCAGACTCTTGTGTGCCGAGAGAAGAAGCTGATGTTGGGTTGTTCAGCGTTGGGAAATCTGATGCTAATTCCAGAGCTTCTGTGCACACCTGCATGGAGGCCCTTCAACACAACACCTTTCCCATCTAGGGAAGAACATGTACAGGGTATGTGTTAATTCCACTTGCAGCTAATTGGCCTTGACATCAGACCAAACATTTCCACCCTAACTATTGATTCTGCAATGCTGCGGAATATCCTCGTTCCTCTTTGTAGTGTGTAAGTTAGAGCAGGGAAAAATGGCTTTGAGGCTCTTCCAAGTGTCTCCCTGCAACGTTGGAAAGAGCTTTAGGTGCATCAGTGCTTCCTATTGCAGGTGGTTCTTGGCAGGGTGAAGGAGTTACTTACCCTTCTCCTTGTTGTCATTTACAGGTCTTGATGTAAGTAAAGACCTTTCCATCTCTGGTGTGTGGCAGGAGTCAGGAATGCTCATGGCAGTGGTACCCACTGCCCCTGCTCTCCTGTGGGTTCTGAAATGGTTCCAGAGTCTGGCAATACGGGGTCATCCCCCCTCTGTGCCCACATGAGGTTTTCAGTGTTTGATTGGAGATTTATCTCATGGCCATGGCTGATGTTGCCACATCCCTGTGCTGCCTTGCTAGGGCCATAAAGGATGCACCAGGGATGGAGGATAAAAGGATCAAGGCCCATGAGAGCTGTCATCTCTCTCCTGCTCTGCCACGGTTCTTTGAGGGAACTGGGTCAAGTTACTTCATGTTGCTGTTCTTCAGTTTCCCCACTTTATAATTAGCCTTGGAGAATAATTATCCTGGCTTTCTTACTAAAGTGGCTTCTGATCTGCTCCTCTTATCTGATGGAAGAAAACATAACAGAATTTGCACAGATTTATAGGGAATTGGCTTGCCAGAAGAAAAAATCCAGACAGTCAAGATGAGTTGTGACAGAGGAAATAATCCTTCAGGCTGCCATCACCGACTGATAAAGGATGAGACACCCAGGGTGGGTTGTGGTAATAACCTCCTAAATGAAGTTATAAAGTTATCCTTCAAGTCTTTCCACTCATAGATAAGTTCACAGCTGTCCCTGTGTTAGTCAATGGAAGCTCATGATACCTTCTGCAAAGAAATAGGCACAGCTTAGCGCCCTGCCGAGCAGGAGCATCCCTCCGCCCTCCTGTTCTTGCCCACTGCATTGCCAACCACAGTTTGCTGGTTTGTTCACATCTCCTTGATGGAGCCTACAAGCTGTGTGTAATGGGAATGAGCAGGCAGAGGCACTCCCTGTGTGCTGAAAGAGAACCAGAGGCATTCTGATGGCCTCACAGTCCTGGTAATTAAGCCTGTTTCAAGTATGAAATGGAAAGGCTTCCAACCTGTATTTGCACCATAAAAAGTTGTATTGTAATCCCTGTTAACCTCTTAAGCAATGTTTATTCAAGCCTAGTGCCAGCGGGGTGGTTTTCATCTTAGCGTGATAGCTGATTGCAGTCAATCCTCAGGCGTAGCCTTAGCCATCATTTATTGCACATTCACATCACAGTTTGCTCTGTCCACATGAGGATCTTCACATGTGTTTATCAGTTTCTGGGCCATGGTTTGGTTGCCATAATCTGTGAGTCAGCTCTGAAGAGGAAGTTGAGAGTAAATGCTGCAGTCCCTCAGCACACAC